AAGGTGAGAGATAAGGGTCTAGTTTCATTCCTCTACATATTGATAACCAGTTTCCCCAGCACCATTTATTAGAAAGGCTGTCTTTTCTCCATTGTATGTTTTTGGCACCTTTGTCAAGGATCAGTAGATGTGTGGGTTTATTTCTGTGTCTTTTATTCTGTATTATTTGTGTGTCTGTTTTTATGCCAGTACCATGCATTTTTTGTTACTATAGGTTCTGTAATATAATTTGAAGTCAGACATTGTGATTCCTCCAGCATTGATTTTTTTTTTTTTCTTAGAATTGCTTTGGCTATTCTGGGTCTTATATTCATTCTTCCAAATGAATTTTAGGACTTTTTTTCCAGTTCTGTGAAGAATGTTACTAGTATTTTGATGGGGATTGCACTGAATTTGTATATTGCTTTTGGTAGTATGGTTATTTTAACAATATTAATTCTATCCATGAACATGCAAGGTCTTTCCATCTTCTGAGGTTTTCTTTAATTTCTTTTTTTCAATGTTTTATAGTTTTCATTGTAGAGGTCTCTTATCTCCTTGGTTAGATTTATTGCTAGGTTTTTCTTTTTCTTTTCTTTTTTTTTTCTGAGACTACTGTGAATGAAATTGTTTTCCTAATTTCTTTCTCAGCAGGTTTATTGTTGGTGTATAGGAAAGTTATTGATTTTGTAACTTACTACTTTGCCAAATTTGTATATTAAGTCTAGCAGTCCTTCAGTGGAATTTTTTGGATCTTCTAGGTATAGGATCATATCACCTGCAAACCTTGATAATTTGGCTTACTCCTCTCTTATTTTTGTCTTTTTTAATTTCCTTCTCTTGCCTAATTGCTCTGACTAGAATTTCTAGCATTAAATAGGAACGGTGAGAGTGAGCAATCTTGTCTTGTCCCAGATTTTAAAGGAAATGCTTTCTGTTTTCCCCATTTACTATGTATACTTTTTCTATTATCCTTAGGGATTTAATTTGGGAAGAGAAGATATCTTTCTGGTATCAGGGATTGAACCCAGGTACATTTAACCATTGAACCACATCCCTAGCCTTTTTTATATATTATATTGAGACAGGGTCTTGCTAAGTTGCCTAGGGCCTCACTAAGATACTGAGGCTGGCTTTGAACTTGCCTCAGCCTCCAGAGCCACTGGGATTATAGGAGTGTGCCACTGTGCCCAGCATCAGAAAAGAAGATATCTTTAAACTTTTAATCTTTAAACTTGAAGTCCTATTTTTTTTTCAATTCATGATCCGTTTTTGCTGAGATAGACTTGTATTAGTGATACTGTATCATATAATCCATGTTGAAGAAGAAAGTTGGTGACATTTTAGATGGTGTAAGTCATGTAATATTGTATAAGTAATGTGAACTTAATATTATATCAGTATGATATGATCCTATAAATCATCAGCAATTTGTTGGATAAGTTGAACTGAAAAGGAGTGTGTGGTAAGGTGGGAGCGAGATGTAGCTTATTGTGGAATGTGTTAGCTTTTTGTCTCTGTGATCAAAATACTCAAGAACAACTTAGAGAAGGAAAAGGTTATTCTGGCTCATGGTTTCAGAGATTTAGTAGGTGGTGGGTCAGTTCCATTGCTCTGGACTGAAGGTGAGGCAGAATATCATGGCAGAGGGCTTGGTAGAGAGCGCTGCTCCATTCATGGCAACCAGGAGACCATGGCACATTGCAGCAGGTAAGATGCACCCTTCAAGGCACAGCCCCAGTGACCCAAGTCTAGCTACCTCCCACCTGCCTATAGTTCCCACTCAGTTAGTCCGTCTGATTAGGTCCAGTCATTTCACCTCTGAATATTTCTGCATTAACACAAAAGCTATTGGGGAATCACCTCATCTCCAAACCAGGACATGGAGTCCCATTTATGCATATCTCATCTCCTTTTTCTTTATTTAATCATTGTTTTATCTGAAATTTGTGTGTTTACCTATGCCTATTGCAAATGTAAATGTCAAAATATCATATATAATAAATGAAATTTACAAAGATATTGTCAATTATTAACATGTGCTTTAGGTAACTGCAGGGTTTTTGGGTGAGGAGCACTATTAGTTACAACAGAGAAATAAAAGATTACTTTCCAGTCTCTCTTGGATTATGGTTAGACTGAGACCAGGAACAGAGAAAGACATAGGTATAATACAGAAGGAAACCAAAAAGACATTTAGAAAAATAATTTAATGCAGATTTATCTCTATATTTGTTTATATTCTTTTTAAAAGATGTTTGTTTCTTTACTTCATCTTTAAGTTTAAGTTTAATTCATCTTTAATGAGGGCTCTTTTATGTATTTATGTTTTTGGTCTTTCATGAAGCTTTTTTTAAAAAATTGAGTTATATTTCACATAGTATACATAATATTTGTCTTCTTAAAGTTTATCATTCAGTGGTTTTTAGTATATTCACGAATATGCAATCATCACCACTACCTAATTCCAGAACATATTCTTCCTCCAAAGAAACCACATACCAATTAATGTTTACTGTCCATTTTTGTTTCTCTGTAGTCTCTGGCAATCACCAATCTCTTTGTCTCTGGATTTGTCTATTCTAGGCATTTCATATAAGGAATCATACAATATGAAACCTTTTGTGTCTTGCTTCTTTTATATAGTGTAGTGTTTTCAGTGTTCATCCACATTTTAGCATGAATCAGTACTTCATTCCTTTCATATGGCTCGGTAATAGTCCATAGTATGGATATACCACATTCTATTTAACCCATTTGAGAGTTGATGGGCATTGGTTTGTTTCTATTTTTTGGTTATTATAAGTTTATGTACAGTTTTTACTGGTACATATGTTTTCTTTTTTTTTTTGGTGTATTTTTTTCTTCTTCTTCTTCTTTTTGGTGGTGCTGAGGATCGAACCCAGCGCCTTGTGCATGCAAGGCAAGCACTCTACCCCAGCTCTTGGTGTATTTCTAGGAGTAGACTTGCTGGGTCATATGGTAGCTCCATATTTAAACTTGAGAGGAACTGCCAAATTGTTTTTCAAAATGTAACATTTTGCATTTTACCAGCCTGTGTGAAAGTCCCAATTCTCTACATCCTTATTAACACTTGTTACTATCTGTCTTTTTAAAATTCTGGCAACCCTAGTGTGTGTGAAGTGGCATCTCATTGTGGTTTTGGATTTTACTTCTCCGATGGCTAATGATGTGTGAAGCATCTTTTTTGGAGAAATGTCTATTTAGATCTTTGCCCATTTTTTCTTGGGTTGTCTTTGCGTTAAATTGTAAGAGTTGTTAATTTAGTCTGGATACTAGACCTTATCACATATATGACTTGCAAATGTTTTCTTCCATTACATTGGTTCTTTTTACTTTCTTTTTAAATTTTTGATGAAGCCCAGTTTCCTCCCCCTGCCCCTTTGTGGGTTGCTTGTGCTTTTTGTGTCATAGTTAAAAAAACCATTGGGAAAAGGATCTAAATGGTTCTAAACTATTGCCTGATCTAAGGTCACCAAGATTTACACCAGTATTTCCTTCTAACCGTTTATAGTTTTAGCTCTTCATTTTAGGCATTTAGTCCATTTTGAGTTAATTTTTGTATATGGTGTGAGGTAAGGATCCAACTTCATTCTTTTATATGTGTAAAACCTTTGGCCCTTTGCTGAGTCTTACTTTTAGTAATTATTTTAGGTCTTTGATCTCATTTAATTACCATAACAATCTTGTGAGATATTTATTCCCATTATCAACTTGTCTTATTTTGAAACAGAGTCTTAAAAGCTAAATATCTTTTCCAAGGTCTGCTAGCTCAAGCCCCAAGTTTTGCCTTCAGAGCCCTACCATTTAACCACTAGGCTACACTTCCTTTTCTTTAGGAAATGTACATGCTTTTGGTCAAACATGAAGGCTGCTTAGAAATTAAGTGGCTCTGGAGGACTAAAGAACATTGTGGAACCAACACTATATGTTTCAAACACAAAGAAAAGAAAACCCCTTTGGGTTTTAAACTTTTATACCAATTCCTACTTTTATTCAGTAAACTTACTCCCTCTAGGATTCTTGGTAGAGAATTTTAGGATTGGATTCTTATTACCAAGGGCTGTAGTAGTGCTGACCTGAGAGCTTTCTGGATGACAACCATGTTCTGTATCCATGTTGTTCATTGTGTTAGCCACTCCCCAGATGTGGCTATTGAGCACTTGCAGGGGTAGTGAAACGGGAACTAAATTTCTTTTTACTGTGGTAAAATACACATAATATAACATTTCTCATTTTATATTTCCCCATCCGAAAATCTGTACTCAATACTCCTCATTCCTCTCCCTCCCTGGCTCCATAATCCACCATTCTATTTTCTGAGTCTGTGAACTTGGCTACTATAGGTACCAAGTACTTTCTATGACTCTAGGTCAAAAAAGAGGATCCAGATTTCTAATTTTATTTCATTTTGTTAATTTAAATTTGAATAGCTCTGTATGGTTAATAGCTACTTACTGTTGGCCTAGAGCCAGGGTAGGCCTGGGAGAAGACCGCCTCTCACAAAATTGACACCTGCTATTTGACATAGTCTGAATCTGAGGCATTCAGTCCATGTCCATATTCCAGGACTTTGTGGCTGAGAGCGGAACCAAAGAGGTGAAGATCAAATAAACAAGCATCCCTCTAGTGCATAGAGACTCTGATGATGTCGCACAGAAGAATATTACTCCAGAATGCTAAGACCTGAGTTCTCTCCATGGACAGTCTGCTCTGGGGACTCTCTGCTCTTCATATTCCAGAGTACCTGCTTGAGATGTGAAATTATACATAAAGGTGTCTGCCCCTCTGGGAATGGCCTGAGGTGGGGAGAGGGCATCTTTCAGTGTTCTGCACTTGCAGGAACTGCCCCCTTCACAAGTTGGGTGGTGTAGTTAGGACTGTGTTTGGAAGGACAGCATCTTCTGTCAGTCATGAATCGCAGGAGGCGGAAGTGAAACTCCTCTAATTAACCACTGTGAAAGCGACTCACTCTCATTCTTGTTTTGTGGTTTCTGCAGTGCTGGACTTCAGCGATCCCTTCAGCACTGAGGTGAAGCCGAGAATCCTGCTCATGGGCCTGAGGAGAAGCGGCAAGTCGTCTATTCAGAAAGTTGTCTTTCACAAAATGTCACCCAACGAAACGCTGTTCCTGGAGAGTACTAACAAGATATGCCGGGAAGATGTTTCCAACAGTTCCTTTGTCAATTTTCAGATTTGGGACTTCCCAGGACAGATTGACTTTTTTGACCCCACCTTTGACTATGAGATGATCTTCAGAGGAACGGGAGCACTGATATTTGTCATCGACTCTCAGGTACAGCTCAATGCCTCTGGCATGATGGCCCTGAAGCCCTGCAGCCCCCACATCTCCCCACATTCATTTCTGATGGCTTCAGTTTGGTTTTTGAAATCCAGAATAGGCCTTTCTACTTAACCAGTCTTTCTTAGTCATGGTCTTCAGATTTTGCAAAGGAGAAAAGGCTCCCTTCTTCCAGCCTGACAAACAACCACCAACCCACCTTTAGAGGCCAAGGACCCCAAATATGTGTCACGCTCCCTAGGATCCCCTTGGCAGACATCTGTAAAAGATCACAGGTTCTGTACACCAAAAATCTATATAAGTGTATATTTAAATGTACATCATGTCCTGCGAAGGTAAAGTTTTAAGTGAACATTTTTCTTCTGAATCAAGTTTTAATTATCACTAACACACAATTATGACATAACTGTCATATTTTAATAGATAACTATTAAAAAGTAAAATTTGAGATAAATATCTTTTCTAAGATGGACATTTTGATGTTTTTCCACTTAATTTATATATCCATGCTAGAATAAGCTGGGGTTGGATCAATTGGATTTGTATAGATATTCAAACTTTCTTCACATGAATAAGTAGCAGATACAGGGTGAGTTTTATCATAGCATTTTTGTCCACTTATTTTCAGTCCTTCCAAGTTATATCCCCTACATCACCCAGTTTTGGGTTGAAAAGTAGTTTACCAACAGACAGCCTGATTAGGTTCTCCTTCAACCTTCTTGGAAGCAAAGAAGAAGGAACCTCTGTGGACTGGTGAAGGGCTCTATTCTCCAGCTATTAGTGAGATTCACATGAGCCTTCCAAACTGGCTCTTTGACACCTGGGTTTCTATACCCTGGGGTTTTTCTCCTCTAATGTCTGTAAATGGGAGGAGGGAAAAGGAAACAGACCTGGTGCTTTTCTGGCAGATCGGTTTTAGGGAGGGTGCCTGTTTTGGGGTTTGGGTATTGATGCCTTGCAAACACTTTTTCACAGTGTCTGCGGCTTGAGGCCCAGACCACAGGCTCTCCCATAGACTGACGGTTTTACAGCTGTTGGGGAGTAAAAGGCAACAGATCCTCTAGGTGTGTGCTAAATCATCTATGAAGTTCAGGTATTTCCCTTTTTCCCTGACATTTCTCTGAAATTGCATACCTACCATCACGTTAGGCAGCTGTTGGTGTGATCACCTGGTCTTCCAGAAGCCCAGGGGTGTTAGGGAGTATTGCAGGGTGCCCAGCACCCCACCAGGGTAGGTTCCTGTCAGGAGGTGTGAGCCGCCTAAAAAATAAAATGTCTGAAATAATTAGTAAGAAATAGAGACAGAACCAGAAATTAGATATAAAAAGCAGAGCGCCTGATAGGTCTTCCAGTCCTGATAGGAGCTGGAACTGAACAACTGGAAAAGGGCCCCAATTCTTGGTATGGCAGGGGTCTTGCAGTAAACAGGTTGATTGGCATTTTGGCAAGCCACACCCATCCCTGAGAGGCTGTCTGGCTCCAGCGGGTCACCCCATCTCTGAAACTGCTGAACTTGTGCCGGGGCTGGATAGGAAGCCACATGAACCAGGCATTTTCAGACCAGCAGGGTTAGTGCTGGGAGTTCCCTATACCAGGCTTTCCTGCCTGATGGCTTCAATATCGTTTTAGTTCATGCATAGTTCACATGGATCATGGATGGCTTCCCTCAAGAGAGGAAGGGGTTATAGAGACTGTTGGTTATCATGGTTCTAAGACCACACTTGGAAAACCATTTTCTGAGAAACTGCTCATGCCTGAAAGGATCAGGAACTAGGTGCCTATTTATATAATATAATAATGAAATTTTCAACAGCCTTTCAGTTCCAAGAGGCCACACTGTACTTGTGCAGCTGTTTTTTAGGGTGGAAGTATGGAGGGGGGAAACTGGAAATCCAATGCCTGATCTATGGACAGCAGTTCACCCTCCCATTGTCCCACCCAGAAATGCTGGTATTGTGTGTGCTTGTAGACACCTGAATCATATTTAGGGCCTGCTGTCAGCAGCTGCTTTCCTGGCTGTCCCACTTGTACTGACCTGTTTTCTGGCCCATCTGTGGCCTTGGCAGTATCCTCTGCCTTCCTGTCTCAGACCTGCCTGGACCCCAAGGGAATGGATAGAGCGTGTGCACAGTGCCTGGGAGTGTGGCTCCAAGGTGTGGGGATGTCATCTCTTCTAAGCTCCCTTTTCCCCTTGGGTTGCCCAATCCTGTGCCTGTACTTGTTGAATGAGGTAGCTGTAGTACTAGTCCTGGCCATAGTAAGTAGATTCCAACTAAATGACTCATTTCAAGACACAATGACTTAGTAAAAACTTACTTAAATACTATATTGTGCTAATATAGCAATTTGCATTTATGGAATTCAAATTTCCAATGCAAATCTATCTTAAGTATTTATTATATGACTGTAATTTGGCTAAAAAGTACACTTTTTAATTTTAGATCTCAACTGTATTTGGTTTTAATGTTACCTGAACATGAAAAGCAGACCTTCTGTTTGGCTTATTTTAGTTTTAAGGTTTTTGTTTTGTTTGTTGTAGGTCAGAGAAAGGTATAAATAAGAATGCTTGAATTCATCTTTTACAGTTACACTTTAAAAATGACCAGGGTGTCTGGGGGCATAGCTCAGTGGTAAAATACTTGATGAAGATGCTTGAGACCTTGGGTTCAATCCCCAGCACTGAAAAAGAAGAAGTAGGAAAACTCTGTTGAGTGCTATCATTTACTAAAAATGAAGAATAATCTAAAAACCAGAGTCAGAGCCTATATACTACTTTTTCATGTTTGCAGGAATCTTCATGATTATGAGCTTTAGGGAAATCAGATTTTAGGGAAGTGGCTCTCGACAGCACTTGGATGTCCTTTCCATTATTTCTAAGCAGCGTTCTTTTGGTCTGACACCTCATGTTTTTATTTTTTTGACTGTGAATTCTCACAATCACAGGATTTCCAGATAAATATATCCCCAAGGAGAAATTAAGTCCTCAAAGAATGTTGTGAAATAAAAACGAATGAAAGCAAGAGTGATTTCCCACAAGCTCAGTGTAACTCTTCCATCCCCAGAAGAGACCACAGAATGTCCCTCTCTTCCTGAAGTCTTTGGATTCCAAAGAATTTCCACTTGACCCTGTTGGTGGTGATTATGACCTACCTGCCTGTAATCCCAGATTTAATTGCAGAGTAGAAACTAGACAGTATGTTTTACCTTATTTTTAAAATTTTGTCATAGGAAACAATAACAGTGGGAAAAATCATTTGCAATCCTCTGTTCTAATAAATGGAGAATTTTCTTCTTTCTAATGTCAATTTTAGTCTTTTTTTTTTTTTTTCCTTCAAAGCTGGGAATTGAACCCATGCTAAGCACGCACTCTACCACTGAGCTATACTCCCAGTTCCTCGTTTTTGGCCCTTGAGGCTCTGTGCTGTTTTACCAGTTAGCTGGAAATGAGACCATATTATAGGCTTGGCAAGGAGTTTAGACTGGTGGTTTCTAATATTTTGAGATGTGATCCTCTCTAGACGTTGGGTTACTTTGCTTATAGACCTGTTCCCTTAACTTCCTGTTCAGTTAAAGATGAAAGCAATAATACTCTTTTGTGTATTAATATACATGCAATATCATGCACTCGTTTTAAGCACATAATTTAACGGTATATGTCATGTAATCACCTTATATTCAAGACTGTGTATTTCTATACCCACAAAGGTCCCCTTGGGCCCTTTCACAGACCATCCCTGTAATGCCCAGACTCAGTCAAGCACTGAAATGCTTTTTGTCACTGGTGATTAGTTGCTTTTTCTAGAATTTCAACCATTGGAGCTGTACAGTAGTAATGGTAGTTTTTATTTAATGCTTAATCTGCTGGCCCAGTGTCTGCTATTTGCCTTTCATTTTGAATAATTCTTCAGAGGGTATGTGTTCTTTTCTTCATAGTACCTTATTAGTATATTTAATATTTTGATTTACCTAGAGACTAGGGCTGCATTTTTATTGATTTAGTTTGGAGAACAGAAGAATGCCCAAAACATCCTGTTAAATTGGCTTTCTGTATTTTCCAGATTTGAAGTCATAATGGGGGCGATGAGCGTGGTTGTGAAAAGTCCTTTAAGTTCCTTTTTTTGCAATAAAAACAAGACCGGTCCACACCCTTCAAACTGGCAGTAACTCAGCTTCTGACAACACCAGGTGTTTGCAAGGGTCTGGCACCATCACACACTGCCTGGTCACGTTCAGGGTGCTGTGACCTGCCGAATCAGCCTGCAGGGTAGTGTGTATTCGCATTACCACTGTGCTAACCACTGAGAAACATTTGGAATGTCCATCAACAGGCAAGTGTGGGATAAATTGTAGACCACCCATTACATGAAATGTCACAGAGTCCTTAAAAGGAAGAGTTATGTGCTAGAGTTAATGCACTTAACAGAGATGAAAGCTCCTGGATGTAATGTTGAATGAAAAAGGCATACATACAACTTGATAGTTCTATAAATTTTTTTGTTCGTTGTTTTGTGGCACTGGGGATTGAACTCGGGTGCTCTATCATTGAGCTACATCCCCAAATCTTTTTTTTTTATTTTTATTTTGCGATAAGGTCTTGCAAAGTTACTGAGGCTTGTCTGAAACTTGTGATCCTCCTGCCTCAACCTCCTGAGCCACTAGGATCACAGGTATGCACCACCTTGCCCAGCCACTTCAGTAAACCTTTAAACAATGTAAATGAATGCTGTCTGTTGTTTGGGGATGCAGATGTGTATGGTGTAAAGAGATGAGTGAAAATAAACACTGAACTTGTGGTAGTAGTTGCCTTGAGTGGCTGGGTAGTGAGCTATGTTGGGAGAATGGGGAGAAATACACAGGGTTTTGGTGTTAATGCTTTGTTTTTTAAATAGTGATCGATACACAGGTATTTATTACATTGTCATAATAGAGAAAAAAATAGATCGCGCTGTTTGGAGCAATTACTCCACATTGGGGGTCCGAAAGCTTTCTGTAAGGGGCCAGATGGTAATATAGCTGAGGCTTTGCATACTGTACTGTCTCTGAGGAGCTTCCACAGAGGAAAGCGACTCAACTCTGCCTAGTGTCATGAAAGCAACCTCAGACTGCATGCAGACAAATTAGATGGCTGTTCCAATGTAAGTTCCTTATAAAAACCAGGTGGGACCCTGAGGACAAGGTGGGGCCTGTGGCCCAGGGTATGCTGACTTCTCTCATCCAGTGTTTCTAAAATTGTTCTCTGAGCCCATTCCCCATTCTCCTAGTGATCCCTGTTGTGTCTCCATCTCTAATGGTTCCTCATGGTTCACCAAGAGACTTGGAAGGTGGGGAGGACAGTATTGCAGGGAAGGACTGAGGTGGTGTGAGGTCATTTCTCTTTCTGAAACTACAACTCGGATATTTTGTGATCATCAGCCTAGGTTACAGCTGCCTAAATCAGCTGCATTTTGTTAGCCTTCTCTTCTGTTTGTTAACACAACTTAGGTTTTCAAGCTTAGATTCCACGAGACCAGGTTCTAAGGGGAGTCTTTGCAAGACATTCTGAAGGACAGTAGCCACGTGGTAGGCTCGGGAGGGTGGAGCAGCCTCCTCTCACAGGCGTTGCCTTTGTTCCCAGGATGACTACATGGAAGCCCTGGCCAGGCTCCACCTCACGGTGACCAGGGCCTACAAGGTGAACACCGACATCAACTTCGAGGTGTTTATTCATAAAGTGGATGGTCTGTCAGATGACCACAAAATTGAAACTCAAAGAGATATTCACCAGAGGGCAAACGATGACCTTGCAGATGCTGGATTAGAAAAAATCCACCTCAGGTGAGAGCAGAAATCCCTCAGGGGTCCTAGTCAAGGATGGGAAAAAGCAGGTTTGGGCTCCACATTCACCATGATTGGCTTGGAACAGGCTGTAAATTTACCTTCTTTACCTGTTTTGTGCTATAGACACTGAAATAGGATTTAGGAAAGACAAGTTTTGCACATGCTAATTATTATTATTATTATTATTTTTACCCCATTACCGGAGATTGAACCCAGGGGTGCTTAATCACTGAGCCACATCCCAGCCCTTTGTTTATTTTTTATTTTGAGATAGGGTCTCACTAAATTGCTGAAGCTGGCTCTGAACTTGTGGTTCTCCAGCCTCAGCCTCCCAAGTTACTGGAACTATAGGCGTGCCCGTCTTGCACATGCTAATTCTAATCCTTAGGGAAAGTAGTGTTTTGTTTTAACACATGGTCAAAGCTAAGCTTCTTCCCTCAGGTGAAAGAACATATAACAAAACCTGCGAATCTAATTCAGGAAGTTAATTGATGCTAAATTTTACAGTTCTTGATAAATATGATAGTATCTATAAACATAAATAAAGGAGTAGTCTAAAAATAGTTTATCTAGAAATACCTAGAGGAAAACAACTTCTTCATTCTTTGGTGGTGTAGTACACAATTCATTTTGCAAATTGGAGAATAAAAAAAGTTATATGATTCATTGTCAATAATTTAAGTTACTAGGCTAGACATTGAGAGGCTTGCATAAAGACTATCAGGTGCAGATTCTCTTGCAGAATGCATGGAACCTGGCAAAGGCAAATAAGGATGCATTTTTAAGCTTGCCAGTCAGCAGAATAGAACAGGTACAGTTCTGGCACTTGGGAAGGTGATGTGGAATGGCTTATTAAGACATACTCGTTTTTTACCAAGGTTACTGTGAATTCTGAAGGGAGTAGTTTTGTGTGTTAGGATTGTAGATACAGAAGGGAGACTATTGGTGTTATACCATAGCTTAAGCAAACTATCCTTCAAAGAGAAATATGGATGAAATATTGTTTTCTCTTTCAGCTTTTATCTGACCAGCATATATGATCATTCAATATTTGAAGCTTTTAGCAAAGTGGTTCAGAAACTGATTCCACAGCTCCCAACTCTGGAGAATTTGCTAAACATCTTTATCTCAGTAAGTAAATAATTTACTCCTGTTATAGTCATTTGAAGAATTTGAGAGGAACATTGCAAAAGTGAAAAGGGTCTTACTTCTGTTTGCTCTTACATCATTTCAAGATCATTTAATTATGATTTTTGAAGATTACTCCTTGATATTGTTCAGTTTTGGAGTTTAACTCCCAAAACGAAAATGTGTTACTTCACTGGCATTAAGTAGAGTGTTTATTCAAGTTGAGGGCATTCATCATCGTTAATAGAACCCTACCAGAGATAGAGAGCATAAGGCTTGCTGCATTAGTCAGGTTTCTCTAGAAAAACAGAGTCAACAGGAAGTATAATTATAAAAGTGGGACTTATTAGGTTGACTAGTGGGATCAGAAGCTGGATAGTCCACAATGGCCGACTGCGAGCTAGAGAGCTGGAAGAACCAGTAGCTGCACAGTCCAAGAGGCTGGAACCCCAGAACAAGAGGGATCAACGGCTTCTGGAGAATCTGCTTTGGAATAGTGAAGAAGTGAGAGTTCAATCCTCAAGACGATTGCAGCAGCAATCAAGAACCCTTACAAGAGGAATCCAGCTTGCATATGCCATCTGCTTCTTTGTTCTTTCAATTTTTTATTTCATCCAAGTCGTCCTATTGGTTGGTGCTGCCCATGCTTAGGGAGGGTCTCCATTTTAGTTGGCTTTCCCACATGCCAGTCATTCCTAGATACACCCTCATTGATACACCATAATCCTCTTGATCCTTGGCATTTCATTGAATTGTCAATCAAGTTGACAATTCAAATTAACCATTACACTTGCTTTTGGTGATGACTCCTTCTTGAATAACTTTTTATTTGTTTAACACTGTATGAATTATGTGCCAAAAGAGTCCTAAGAGTTAGGAAATAGTGCCCAATTTGTTTAGCTACAATAAATAATTTGCAGTAACCCTCCTTTTCATCTCTTCTGTAAGTCCATTATGAAGCTTAAGATAATAAGTTTAAGTTGTAATGCAGTGGTGCAACTTAAATTATTTGTAGCTTAATTTTTGCTCATTTATATTTTATATTGGGTCTGGCCTATAATTTTATGTAATCTGTACACAGTTTGAAGTCAGCTATCACTTTAAGGCAGCATCTTTTTTGTTTCAGAATTCTGGAATTGAAAAGGCGTTTCTATTTGATGTGGTCAGTAAAATTTACATTGCAACTGATAGTACTCCAGTGGATATGCAAACCTATGAGCTCTGCTGTGATATGATAGATGTGGTTATTGACATCTCTTGTATTTATGGGTAAGTAAAACATTCATAAATGGCAATTAAGCCATCTTTCCCTTTCATAACTTCTTAGACACTTTGCATTTATCTATTTGACTTTAATACTTTTGTTTTAAATGACCAAGGTCTGTAAATAGACCACTTAGCATGCAATGATAATAACAAACAACTATTGAGCAAATGCCTGGCATTATGCTAATAACTTTATTGCATGCATCATATAGTTTAATTCTCAACTATTCCATGAGACAGGAATTACTTACTATACCCATTTTACAGATGAGTAAACTAAAGTTTACAGTGGTTAAGTTTCTAATTGATGCTCCCATTGTCAATAAGGAACAGAAATAGAATTTGAACTCAAGTCTAAATGATTCCTGATCCTCTGCTGAAAAATCTGTCAACATCTGTGGATATAAGTTAATCCTTAAACTCTGTCATTAACATTTCTATTAATCCTCTTGGTTACAGAAAATAACTGCTGAGTTTTTTTTAAATACACTTTTGATTTTCTGTGGCCAGCAAAGAATTATAAAACTAAGCAAACGACATTATCTGCTTATTAATAGTAGTTGTATGGTCTTGTGTTCTTAGAAATGTTTTATACACTTAAAATAATATCAAATAAACAGTGAGCCAGGTGCAGTGGTGCGTTCCTATAATCCTAGTGTCTCAGGAGGCTGAGGCAGGAGAATACCAAGTTCAAGGCCAGCTTCAGCAACTTCAGCAAGGCCCTAAGCAATTTAGTGAGACCCAGCCTCAAAATAAAAATTTAAAAAAAGGACTGGGGATGTGGCTCCGTGGTAAAGTATCCCAGGGTTCATTCCCCAGTGCCCAATAATTAAATAAATAGAAAAAGAGTGGGGAAGATTTATTGTATTATCAGAGATAGAAACAGTTCTGAATTAATTATACATTTGCCAAACAAGTCTTGTATAGATTGAGTGTGAACTAGCTGTTTCTTAGGATATTAGGATGTTGCTGTGGATACTGGACCTTAGGTTGTCGTCCTGTCGTGGACAAGCTGAACCTCTGGTCCATCTTCCTCTGCACTCATTGCCTGTGACCTGCCTCTCTTGGTACTCTGCCTCCTCTGTCAACTTCTGTGAGAGTGTCAATCTGTTTCTGTCTTCCACTGCCTAAAACTCCTCTGCTCACTCAGTTCAGATTCCCTTGACTGTCACCCCCAACTCCTGCACACACAAACACACAACACAGTCCCTTCCTGATGGATGGGGTAAGCCATACCTCGTAAGATTGTGGTGAAGGTGGAACCATTAGGCTCACAATGTGCCTTGACCTGGTGGTAGTTCCTGGATAAACTGTAGCTGCCATAATTTATTACTGCTGTTATTATTAAATGCTTTAAAAATAGACCCTATTTCCCAAAATTACTAGCTTGAAGTATCCTATTATTTTTAAGCCATAAGTGGATGACCTTGAAAGAGCTGTGGAGCTGAATGAACCCTGATTATGGTCTAGATTGCTGTAGTAATCAAGTACAATGAACAACACAATTAATCTGGCACATATTTAATGACATGCATGATCATTATTGTGCCATATGGTAATTAGACGTAAGTGGTAAGTTGTTTGTGTAAATGCTGTTAATCAGAGTTACTTTTACCCAGCTAAAACAAACAGGGTGAGGGAGGAGGCTAGCAGGAGGAAGCTGGGCTTTACCATCAGATTTTTTTCTGTGGTGGAGTGCAATGTTCCCGAGAACCACAGGATTCAGGAAGAACCAGTCTGGGTCACAAATGATTTGTGGGCACTGGGGTTTCTTTGCTGGAGCAGTGAGCCTGCCCAGTTAACCAGCAAGGGGCCGGGTGGGGATGTTTGTGGAGACTGTGCCCTGCCCCCTTAGATAGTCTAGGAAGGAAGTGGCCCTGTAACTGGAGGACTTGATCCTCTTTCCCAGCTGCCCAGTGCAAAGGACCGGTGTTGAAGGTGGTGCCTCAGGAATCTCAGCTCAGGTTCTGCTCAGAGTTCTACACACACACACACACACTCTCTCTCTCTCTCTCTCTCTCTCTCTCTCTCTCTCTTTAAAATAAGTTCCATTTGTTATGTGTATTCATTGCTTGTAGATGAAAACTTGTAGAACTTAGTTGTAGTTGCAAAACTTCACCAATTTCTACTTGTAATTTTATGGATATTTTTTGGTTGTGTTTGTTTGTTTTGTGGTACTGGGTTGAATTCAGGGGTGCTCTGCCACTGAGTTATATTCCCAGCACTTTTAATTTTTTTTATTTTGAGACAGGGTCTCATTAAGTTGCTGAGGCTGGCCTTGAACTTGCAATCCTCTTGCCTCAGCCTCCTGAGTTGCTGGGATTACAGTGTGAGTCACCATGCCTGGCTTTTTTTTTTCCCCCTAATTAGTTTGTTGTTTTCTTCCTTTTTTTCATTGTGAAATTAATATATATTATAGTATGTATACTTTTATGAAAGCATAAAGAATAAAATTAAAATAGCCCATAATCTTACCACCTAGAGACAGTCACTATTTACATTTTTTTTTAATATTTATTTTTTAGTTTTCAGTGGACACAACATCTTTATTTGTATGTGGTGCTGAGGATCAAACCCAGCGCCCCACGCATGCCAGGCAGCGAGCTACCGCTTGAGCCACATCCCCAGCCCTATTTACATTTTTTATATATTTTATTATTACTTCTCTGTGTAGTTTTAAGTATAATGAGATCACTTTGTATATATAATTTTATAACCTGTTTTTTTTTATTTAACATTACCTAAGAATTTTCCTGTGTTTTGTTAAATGCTATTTATTAATAGACAAAATGTTTGTTATCTATATATTCAAATGTTATATTTACTTGAAAATTTTAAATGCAGTTTTCTTCATTGGGTAAAACATTTTACATGTTTCAGTTTATTGCTCTTAGAGCATTACTTATAAGCAAGAGAAATTCAGTCTCCCAAGTAGCTTAGCTTAGACTTAAAATTTACTTTTAAGTAGTCCTGTAGAGACCAGTTTAAAATACTTTCAAAACAAAAACAAAAACAAAAAAACAAACAAAAAACCCCCTCCATTTCCTTTAAAATACTCTATAATTCAGGCTCATCGTTAAATCAAGCCTTTCATCCTAGCCCCTGTATATTACAAAATTAAAGCATTGGCTTTTGGTATGAATCAGATCAGGTCTGAGGTCCTGGCTCCACCTCTGTCACCAGCTTTGTCCAAGTTGTCTTTCTTTCTCCAGTCTTAGTTTCTTCAGTGTCTAGCTTAGAGGATTTTTCTGGCAGAAATTGGATAATGCATGGTCAGAACTAAGAATGGTGTGTGTCACATAGTAAATGTTTAATAAATGCTAGCTCTTACTGTGAATTTGATAAGATTTAGCACAATTCCAGTTAAGTGAAAATTCTGGTCAGTTATTCATAGATTTGGGAAGTAAATATACATCAAAATGTATACATCTGCAGATAAAAGGAAGGCTATGGGACATGTCCTTTGCCTATGATGGAAGTATTCACAACTCTTTGATTATACCAGTGTCTTTCGCGGGTTCAGTTTCTGTCATCAAAACCATCTTAATTATAACAGCAGTTAAAATTCTTTGTACATTTTATAGATTCTCAGGTTTATACTGAGAATCATATATGCATATTTATTTACTTAGGGAACTTTGACGTAATTGCTGTCAGTATATAAATGAGGAAATTGTGGCTCAAAGAAGTTAACTAAACGTGTCCAAGTTCACATGATAAATAAGAGCTGGGTATAAACCCAGGTTTATCTGTCTGCAGACTACACCTTTTCTTAAGAAAATAGACCAACATATTAATTTAACTATTTTGAAAAAATTTCAAGCTACAGGAAATCTTATATCCATGTTGGGATTTACCAGTCGTTACTAATTTGCCATGTTTATTCTTTTTTCCTAATACATACTCTTTGTGTGTTTTTGCTGAACCATCTGACAGTAAGTTTCAGACCTTGATTCTTTGATCTTGGCCACTTGAACATGTATCTGTTAAGAACATGGACATTCACTGTAGGACCATGGTTTAAGTAGCAAGTGGAGCAGATTTAGCCTGGCTATATTACTCTTGTTATTTAATACATAAACCCATATTCAGTTTTTACCAAATGTCCCAATTCTGTCTTTTATAGCAGTTTTTCCCCTTGTTCAGGGTTCAGTCCAATATTTGGCTGTCATGTCTCTTTAGACTCTAATTGTTTTTCAGCCTTTCTTGGTCTTTCACCAGATCATGCTTTTGACAGCCTGGCTATTCTACCATGAGAAAATAAGAAGCCCTTGGCTGTGGAGGGGAGAAGAGTTCACTGAGATATTTTGCTGAATGGCACTGCAAGTGTAAATGACATCATTTTCTCTGTGTTAAAGCTGGTCTCTATTACTGGGTTGCAATTTTTAATTCTTTCTTAATGATCAAATACATTTTGATTTCTGTCCCCATTTAGTCTCAAAGAAGATGGAGCAGGAACCCCCTATGACAAGGAATCAACAGCCATTATAAAGCTGAATAATACAACTGTTCTTTATTTAAAAGAGGTGACAAAGTTCCTGGCTCTCGTTTGCTTTGTCAGAGAGGAAAGCTTTGAAAGAAAAGGTAATTTTTTAAATGTGATTTAAAAGAAGCACTTCAATTCATTCTGCCTTCCTTGCTTGTTGAATATGAGTGAATGACAGCATGCCCTTGAAGCTTCCAGACTTTAGTCACAGGCCCTTTTGGCAGGCAGGCCTCAGGTAGTTCAGAGATGGTGGGGTTTCACTGAACCTGCCTGCCCCCTAGTGGTGTGGCTGTGATTGCAATGAGGTGAAGTAGACCTGAGGATTCAGCCAGGCACGGTTCCCGGGCTGTGTCTGAACCAGGAAAGGACTCCCCAGCTTGTGCTAAGGGTGGAGACTCTCCCTCAGTCTCCCTCTGGAAGGTCTAGGTGACGGTGTGACCATTTAGTCTCTTCATGTAAAGGAGGGAGCAGCAAGACATACAGCATTAAAGCTAGACGGTATATGACTTTTTTTAGCCTAAAAAAAAGTATATCTTTGTGATGTTGGGAAGTGGGTTCTAGGGATTGAACTCAGCATGCTCCACCACTGAGCTATATGCCAATCCTTTTTTTTTTTTAATTTTTTATTTTTTTATTTCTTACATACATGACAATAGTGGGGTGCATTGCATTCATAATTATCCATTCACAGCACAATTTTTCATAACTGTATATAAAATATGTTCATGCTAGATTATGCCATTATTCATAAGCTCTCTTTTTTGCATACAATTCTTAATATACCTTTATACCACCATTTATCATATCTCTGTTTGTATATAAAGTATGATGACACCAAATTCACATCTTCATACATGTATTTTGTATAATGATGACTGTCTCCTTCCACCATCTAGCTAGTCCCCTTCTCCCTCCCTTTTCCTCCCACCTCTATTCCCTATCTAGAGGTAATTTTCCTCCCATGCTCTCCCTCCCTATCCTACTTTGAGTCACACTCCTTGTATCAGAGAAAATATTGGGCATTTTGGGCGGGGGGGATTGGCTTATTTTTTATTCTTTAAAAAATGTTTGCAGTACTGGGGATTGAACTCAGGGGTACTCTACCTCTGAGCTACCTTCCAAGTCCTTTTATTTTTTATTTTGAGATAGGGTCTCATTAAGTTGCCAAGACTGTCCTTGAACTTGGATCCTCCTGCCTGAGCCTCCTAAGTAGCTAGGATTATCTGTTATTACAGCTGTGTGCCAGTGTACCCCACCTTCATAATACTAGATCTTCAAAACACAGTGATAGTATCATGATTCCAAAAAGGGAAAATCCTGCTTCAAAATAAAAAAATAAAATGGACCAAGGATGTAGCTCAGTGGTAAAGGGTAGGGGTGTTATGGTGGCTTACAATGCATATTTGCAAAATGTCCATCAGAAAGATTGTATGGATTTATGCTGCTAAGAGATAATGAGTGTGTTCAGTTTTCTGTGTTCTGATTTTAAGAAGTTTACCATTGAAAACTAGTATATTACTTAAATTTGCATTTTCTTTCTTCTTCCTGAAGCTGTGTATTTTTCCTGTTTACTATGACTGACCAAGTTTCCTTGTTTCTTCCCCCACCAAGAATTTTTAATTAAGTGGTATTCATCCTTAATTAAAAATTCTTGATGGGGGAAGAAACAAGAAAGTGGTATTCATCCTTTAATTTTTGTTTCCTTTATTCTTGCTGAAAGCAAGAACAGATAATATATTATTAGAGTCATGGAATTCTGAAGATAGGACTATATATTATTTTACATATGATTTTACTCAGACCCAGAAAATAAAAGCTTCCCCAACCAGTGGGCAGTCAGGGACTTATAGAGGCAGTTTTATGTGTGAACATGTGTTTTTAACCACTGTATGCCTGTTTTGTTGGTTAAGGTTATTTCCCAGATTTATTGATGGTTGATATTTCACAAAGCTAAGAGAAAGAGAAGTAATGCAAATAGTATGCCTTCTCTTCCAAAACCACATAGGCCAATGGCAGGTTCTAAAGTTTAGGGAGAATTACAGTCCCTACCTGGAGATCTTTTTTTGTTTTGTTTTGTTTTAAATGTTCAGATAGATTTTATTTTAGTTGTCAATGGACTTTACTATTTATTTATTTACTCATTTATTTATTTGTGTGCAGTGCTAAGAATCGAGCCCAGTACCTCACATGTGCCAGGCAAGAGCTCTACCACTGAGCCACAACCCCAGCCCTCTTGTTTGTTTTGAAATGATTTTAGATTTAACAGAAAAGTTGCAAAAATAGTACATAGTTTTCATATACTCCTTATCCACCTTCCCTCACATCTTACATACTAAAACTGAATTTTCAAAACTAGGAAATTAATGGCAATATAATACTATTAACTCAACTATGGACCTTATTCAAATTTCAACAGTTTTCACACAAATGCTCTTTTCAATCCCAGAATCCCCAACTTGATTTAGTTATTTTTTTCTTCTGATCTTTTCCAGTCTGTGACAGCTTCTTGTTTCTCATGTCCTTGACTTTTCATTATGTAGAATGTCTGCTGATTTTACACAGTGGAGATTATGCACTGTGACAAGAGCACCACACAGAAGTGATGTCTGAGTGCTACTATAAGTGGTTTGGATTGTTGTTATGTCTTGTTACTAGAATGCTAACCTTGAGCTTGATAGTGTAGCATCTCTCCTGTTTTCTTTTTTTGGTACTGAGGATTGGATGCAGGAGTACTCTACTACTGAGCAATATCCCCAGTCCTTTTTATTTTTAACTTTGAGACAGGGTCATGCTGGCCTTTAACTTGTGATCTTCCTTCCTCTTTCCAAGTTGCTATTGTTTCAGGTGTGTGGCTTCTCCTTAAACTTTTGCCCACTGACTTTAATATCCCTCTATGATTGGGGAACTAGATTTAAGCAGGAGTTTATTACACGGGTCTTCCATAAGTTATTCCTAAACTATGACTGACCAAGTTGCCTTGTTTCTTCCCCCACCAAAAACTTTTAATGAAGTGGTGTTCATCCTTTAATCTTTGTTTCCTTTACTCTTGCTGAAAGCAAAAACAGATAATATATTAGAGTCATGGAATTTTGAAGATAGTGGGATCATTTGACAACAAGCAGATTTTGTAAAAATTTATGAAGCTAAGTGGAAATAAATATGAGTTTTAATGTAATAACTAAGAATATAAGAAAATGGGTACATTTAATGTTTGACCTTGTCATATGTACTTTTTTAGGGTGGCCAGTCCATATCTGTCTTCTTGGGACCAAAGGGATTCCTGGGACAGGAAACCTTCAGTGCTGATACTGGGAAAGTCCCAGGTGAACACAATGAGTTGATCACTCTAGCTACCAGGAGTATCTTTAAAGAGAATTTAGTGCTTGTAATACATGGGATATTTGGTTTTGTTATTCTTGAGTCCTGTTGGTGCCAATAATCTACACTTGACTTTTTCTCATGTTGGTTTCCTTCTGAGTTTTTATTAATGACCTGGTGATGGCTTTGGTGGAAGACGTAGGCATCTTGGGAAAGGTTAAAAAGTAAGAAAGTCTGAGCTTTCCTCAGGATGTTAGAATAGAACTTATGGGAGAGGGACTTGGATTTGTTAGTTTTTTTTTTTTTTTTTTTTTTTTTTTCTTCAAGTTCCCTGAATGTTTTTAAGGTGCAGCTAAGGTTGGGAACTGCTGAATCTGAGAAGGTGAGACTGTATTAAGTGTGGATGGAGGTGATGGTAGTATTTATGCTGTTCACATCTCTGTTCTTGTATTTTCAACTGCCTTTCCTGATAGGGCAGATCTAGCAAACACTTTTTATGAATGCTTATTTCATTTAAAAAACCTCACTTGTGAACCTTTTAAAACTAACACGGCAAGATTACTGTCTCATTTTGAAATGTGTGAAGATGAGTGAGTTAAGATTTCTCAAGATCTACCTATAGGATGTCTCTAAAATCTCCTCAAGTTGATCATTTAATTGTACCCTTTGCTTGAGCCAGATTCCTTGAGCTGAGCTTTCTTTCTGTAAAAGTTTATTTTACATATCAGCAGATAATGTTGAGATTGTTCTCACATTTCCTAGTTAGATTTACACTAAAAAAGAGAATTTCTTTGCTCCTTGTTTATTTTTTATTACTTTCCCCCTGATTGTCTCACAGGTCTTTTCTTGAGGAAATCTGCTGTGAATGGGTCATACTGCATTTGTGGGTCATTGTTTCTGCAGCAGCAGCAGCAGCAGCAGGGACCACTACCTAGACTTTCCCTCTAGAAGCTGAGATGGTTGTCCCCCTTGCCCGTGCACTTGCAGTTAGTTGTAATACAGAGTTGAAGAATTTCATCCTTGACTGGAATTCCATTTCTTTCTTTGATGGGGTTCTGGAAGCATCACATGATAGATGGAAATAATTGTTGGGCCAGTAAATTTAAAGATGGCAAATAGAACCAACCACTTTATCTTTGGTATAAATATAATGTTGCTTTCAACGCTTTTACTTTTGAGAATGAAAAATGCTTCAGATTTTGGATTATCTTTTATTCTGCTACATTTTCACACTGCTGACTTATTTATAAAATCATAAACAAGATTCTCTTTTGCTATTTCTCCATTTAAAATTTACTTATTATTGAAAAGCTGAACTTTTGTGTCATTGGTTATTGAGTTCCTGAGCTTGGAGCAGGCATGAGGTGACTAATACCGTTTCCAGAATCAGGCACTTTGCTTTCCCTAGGGTTTATGAGAATGGTTTAAATATAATAGATATTCAGTAAAGATTGATTGATTAGGGCTGGGGATATAGCTCAATTGGTAGAGTGCTTGCCTTGCATGTGGAAGGTTATGGGTTCAATCCCAAGCTCAAAAAAAAAAAAAAAAAGATTGATATATACTGTGACTTCGATATCTCAGCTGCACTTCAAATCAGGGTCTGCCTCCATTCAGAGTCAATTTACTAATGCCTTTTGGTATTATTATTTCTTAATTGTATTAAACTTTAATTCTGAAAGGTTAAAAAAAAAAGTGTGCAGTTAGATGGTTCTTAAAATCTTTTGGGCTGGCACACACCTGTTATCCCAGTGACTTGGGAAGCTGAAACAATAGGATTGTAAGTTCAAAGACAGTCTCAGTAACTTTGTGAGACGCTATCTCAAAAAACAAAAGAGCTAGGGATGTGGCTCAGTGTTTAAGAGCCCTTGGGTTCAATCCCCAGTACCAAAAAAAAAAAAAAAAGAAATTCAAAATACTTTTGGGTCATAGATGCCTTTGAAAATGTGGTATATACAATATACATTGGAACCTTTCCTCAGGAAAAAATTTACCTTCACAAGACTGCCTGCAATTCCCACAGCCCAGCAGCAGACCTCTTGGGGAAATCTGGCTGTGAGGTTATAGCTGCTCCTCTATCACCCTCTACTGGCTTGTCCTGGTCATGGCTGACATGAGATTATTTCTGCATGGCATTTATAAATATTTTTGTTCTCTTCTCCAGGGCTTATTGATTATAATTTTCATTGCTTCCGGAAAGCCATACATGAAGTTTTTGAGGTGAGAATGAAAGTAGTAAAATCTCGAAAGGTTCAAAATCGACTTCAGAAGAAAAAAGGAGCCACCCCTAATGGGACCCCTAGAGTGCTGCTGTAGGTGAAGTTTCAGGAACATCTTTTGAAATCAGACCTTTTTGATGAGGCTGCTGCACCATGTTGTACTAAAGAAAGAGGAAGAAGATTGGTACACATGACACGGATTCATTGTAAAAAAAAAAAAAAAAGTTCCTGCAACCCTCTTGATTTTCTCTTTTTTAAAAATAAAGTAAGCACTTTGAAGCAAAAACTTGTATATTAACCATGAAGTGAAATCCCCTGTACTTTCATTACACAAATGTAAACTTTTATGGTCAATAGTCAGAAAAATACCATGTGAGAACTGCCAGGAACTGTACATATGTTGCACTTTTTCACTTTTTTTTTTTTTCCTTATTGAACTGAACTTTGACTTTTCTAAGATCTTTTCTGTACATGGTATCAAGAACATGCCTACTGAAGTCCATATCCATATAGCAGAAATTAATCCAAAATGTTAGCTTGGTAATGACTTTTTGTAATATTTGGGGTCTTTACTACTAATTATTGAGGGAAGTAATTTTTTAATGGAGCTGGAATAGATTGGGGCTGTAAGTTCCAGGAGCAATAAGAACTATTCCCTAATACAGATATAAGCAAGATTTTTGTAGAATAATATTATCACCAAACTTATATAAAAATTTATATCACCATGGCTGGGCTTCCCTACCCAACAGTTTTTGTTGTTGTTGTTGCTTTTGTACCAGGGATTGAATCCAGGGACACTCAACCACTGAGCCACATCCCCAGCCCTTTTATTTAGAGACAGGGTCTCACTGAGTTGCTAAGGACCTCACTAAGTTGCTGAGGCTGGTTTTGAACACACAATCCTCCTGCCTCAGCCTCACATGCTGCTGGGATTACAAGCATGCATCACTGCACCCAGCTCCCCACAGCTCTTTACCTCAGCATACACCTCTGTAGTCACTTTACACAGGTAGGTTTTTTTCTTTTTTGCTGCATTACTGTTTTAGAACTTTGGGGACCAGATTTCCAAAATGGTGCAGATCATGGAGAAAAATAACAATCACTAAGGCAGGGTTTCTGGAGGCTTTTCTGTCCTTGTCAGGTGGGGTTAACATAACATCAGAGGCCAAAAAGTTTCCCAAAATGTAGGCAATCGAGAGCTGAAGACTAAAAAAAATACATATACGATTTATGTTTAGTTCCTGTTCAATGGCCTATTGTGCTACATTTAAAATCTTTATTTGGAATTAGTTTTTTATTGCTCCATGACCACAGTGAATGGAGCAAATCTCCCATCTCCACCATAGAGCTTAACCCTGTTGGTTCCATTTGTCAACTTGAGTCACCTTTTTGTCTGTATAATGTGCCTGATGTCCTCTGCCTGTCCCCACCTTGTGACTAAAGTCAATTAATAACCAGTATGTTCTGCAAAGTTGAAGAGCCATCTTGAAACTCCCAGACAATCAGTTGGAAAAGGATGGCCAGAAGAAGATAAAGTCTGCTGTGCAATTTTTTTCTATGAAGTTCATTCACTTGTGTTTAACTTAGATTAGTAGGAAATCAAGAATCTTGATCTTTTTTGGAAGTGGATACTGGGAATTGAAACCTAGGGACATTTTACTCCTGAGCCCTGTGCCAAACCATTCCATGATAATTCTTTCTTTCTTTTTTTTTTTTTTTTCATACTGGGGATTGAACCCAGGGGACCTTAACCACAGAGACATCCCTAGCCCTTTATTTTGTATTTTGAGGCAGGATCTCACTAAGTTGTTTAGGGCCTTGCTAAGTTGCTGAGGCTGGCTTTGAACTCAAGATCCTTCTGCCTCTGCCTCCCAAATCACTAGGATTACAGGTGTGCACCACTGCATCCGGTTTCCAAATAAATAATTCTTTCTATACAAAGGTTAGCACTCTATAGCATGCTTGTGGGGCATTAAAAAAATAATTTGTTTAAAACAGAGCCTCCTAGGGTTATCAAAGCTGGTCCTAGCAAAATATATAAAGTCCCTAAAGCACCTTGTCCTTGAACTCTCCCACTTCTCTCAGTGGCTTCTTTCCAACTTCTCTTTCCTCTCCCTAAAGTCCTATTCCTTCAAAGATGGTAGCTGGAATTAAAGTTGGTAGCAGATTGGGCTTTAAGGTTTGAGCCTCCCAAGAGTCTAAAAATCACTAAGGCACCCTAACTCCCTTTCCTCATGACTTCTGCTCACAAACCTGGCTGAGCAGGAGTCAGGGTTCCAGGGAAGTTTTCCTGATTTCTGGAGCTATCTCCTATTGGACTTTTGCCAACGGGTCTGAAACGTGGGTTATTCTTACAAATCTAATTCTCTAGGATTTTTTACAGGATGTTTCTCTTTGAATAAGCAAATACAGAGTCAAATTTCTAACATTACTTTATTGTCAAGATAGAGACACTTGTCTATATGGTAATTCACATGTTAAATATATCAATGTATATATATTTAAGAACCAGGTGGAACTTTCATTTTTAAGCTAGGTATATGATGGGTTTTATTAAAATGTGCCTTAAAAGCCTATTACTTCAAGAGTAAATGATTCTTTGGGGGAAAGGCAAAAAAAATCTGTGACACAGGACCCACATTCATGGTAGTAAGTGCACTCTTTGGTTAATCACATGCTAATATAGATGACATGTTAATATAGATGACTGCCTCAAACCGTGTGTGACAATGATCTCTTAATTAAAAACAGATGTAGGAACTGTGTCTAAGTGTTCAGTTTTTCAAGTTTATTCAACTGGAATTGCAACACCTTTTCAAATCCTTTTGCATTTTATTTAGATATGGGAGTTTGCTTACTGCAGTGTGTCTCACCACATTTTGTACTCAAACATGGTTATAAACAAAAAGTCCACAGCTGGGGATGTAGACCTGCCTGCCACGTGCAACAGCCTGTGTTTGCATCATGAATTAACAGCCCCCAAAACAGAAAGGCCAAACGTGGCTATAGTGGTGACTGTACTGAAACATTTTTGTTTGACTCTGAAGCTTGCAAACTTGATTGCAGGTTTCTAGAGCGAGGTAGTCCTTTATCATTTTGAGTCATTTAAAACCTCTACATAGAGGTGAATTAGACTGTGAATTATCATCTTTGGTTATTTTCAGTGATGTAAATTAATGTGAATGACTAGTATGGAGTGTCATTGAAGGAATATAAATAAAGAACTGGTTAACATTCACAAATATGTTATTTTATGAACACAATATATACGTTGGACCCTTAAATATAAAACAACTAAAAAGCATATCATGACTAAAAAAAAAAAAATCACAGGACTACTGTTATATATGGGTTATATACCAACTCTGTCCATATTCCAGAAAAACAGCTGAACTGTCATGATAATTGAAGTATAGTGTGCATTTGACTTGTATAGACTGCAGGTAATTTGTAGTCAGGTATAGTTTATGTTTTACTTCAAGCAGCACATCCTTTATAATGATTGTTAAACCTTTGCTTTCAAGAATGTTAACTGCCAATTTAAAAGCATGTTCATGACTTGGTATGGCTTTCATTTTCCTTCAAGTGTATTCATAACTCTGCTTTCTGGGAAGAGAATGGTCTCTTCAGTTAAAAGAAAGTATGGCCTTTCATTTTTGAGGGATGGTTGACCACATGCATATATCACTGTTTCATCATCCCTCTGAGGTCTATTTAGTAATCTCTCTTTTTCAATTTTTAAAAAAAATTTTAGGCAGGTCTCATTATACTCAGTATGCTCAGGCTGGTCTTGAGCTCCTGGGCTCAAGTGATGTTCTGCCTCAGCCTCCCATGTAGCATGTACCACCATGACCGGCTATTTAGTATAATTTGTCTTGATTAATCAGTTCTCACTTAATGGAAATGCAGATAAATCATTCTAAATTGAACTTACACTTTTATTTTTGAGGTGTGTGTGTGTGTGTGTGTGTGTGTGTGTGTGTGGCTGAGGATCAAATCCAGGGCCTCACGAATGTTAGGCAAGTGCTCTAGCACTATACTACACTTCCAGCCCCTTTAAACCTTCCTATTTCTCCATGTCTTTATAGGGGAACATATATAAACTTTATAGTTTACTATCATTTCAGTAAACTTCAGATATTTATTTTTGCTGCTCTTGCCTTAACCTTTAGTCATCTGGAAACCCTTTTCCTAACAGTCCAATTTATCACACCTTACTTTGCTTATTAGTGAAATTCCATTCTACTATGACCTTTACAGATCCCCTGAGAGTTTTCAGAAAAGGCTAGATGTTATATCTTAAATATAAAATTCTGGTTTTTAGTAGAAAACCTGATCTGAAATAATTATTTCCAAGATTTTAAGTCAATGATCACGTTGAATTTGAGAGGAAAATGTCATTAACAGAATTACTTAATAATAGAGTAATTCTGTTTTGAAGAACTATTATATGACTAACCCTCATAAATCCAAGAGGTAAGTAAGTACTATTGCCATTTCAATTTTTCAGATGAGGACACCAAGACCAAAGAAGTAAAACAACTTGGTTAAGATCATCTGGCTATTAAAATATAAGGCCAGGAATCTGACCCTGGAGTCCACTCAACTACAGCTATAAGCAGCTTTATAAATATCACTTTAAAAGCCTTCCTTTCACAAATATGAAGGGAGCATTTGATGATTAGGATTTACTGCTGCATGAGTTAACATGCTGTGATATTTAAAAAGAAATACCTATTCTTACATGCATCCTTACATATTTATAGAACCAATGAGAAAAGTTCTAAATGTACTTAACTCAGAAGATATTCACCAGGATTACGCATCTTTCTTCTTAAAACATTAAATAACTCATGCCCAAGATAACAGAGATTGTTTAAATATCAAGAGTAAATTTAAATACCTTTTATAACCATTTGGTTTTCTAAAAGGGGATGGCATATTGAACTGAAGAAAAATCAAGAAAGAATAAATCTTTGGTTTTAACTGCATTTGACATTTTACCTTGAGTTTACAGCATATGTAAAAATCACTTAGAGAAAATGAAACATTGATTGGGATAAATTCAAAAAGGTTCATTTCAATCCTAATCTTTTCTCAAATTCAGACCCGTATTTTAAATTGTCTCTAGCCTACATTTGCTGGAATCTTCTATAAGAAGCATCTCATTCTGTGTCTAAACTTGGCTTCCTTCTTGCTAAATCTCCTGCAGTGAAGGGTGAAGATGGGTCCTCCCTAGAGCCCCTGCCAGACACTTGAGTCTTGTACCTGACTCTTCCTTCCTGCTCACCTACC